TCTGGTGAGAAGACACATTCTTGCCTTAAGCCCCTTTCTATTTTTGTATATTCATTGGAATCGTTCCCTATGCGCATGCATGCTGTCTGGTGTCAGTATAGGTTCTTGATTATTCAGACATCTTTCCCGAATATATCAAGGTTGCTGTGCTGTTCCATAAGATCCTTGTGGCGTGCTTTGTCAAAGGCTTTTAGTCTATGAAACCTAGATACACGTCCTTCTGCATCTGTATTGCTCTTTTTGATAACATTCTGAACATGAATATCGCGTTCCTTGTTCCGGTGTCTTTAACGAACCCTCACTGTTCTTGTCCTATCTCTGGGCTGATCCTGCTGTGCGCTCTATTCAACAGGATAGAAAAAAGAGAATGGTTGGTTTCAGAATGTCAGGTAGAGAAAAGTCCCACCTGAATCAGAAGAGTTGAATTAGTCACGTTAGTATGAATCAATGAATATTTGTAGCGTAATAACAAACTAAATTCTATATGGGGTACTGCTCAAGAAATGTTAAAAAATGATCCGAGAGTTACAATAAAAATCAAGGAAATTAAGCTTAAGAAAGCTTTGCCACTAGAAAAGTACAAACAAGAAAGAGGAATAAGATGAAAGCATGACTAGTGAAAAATGAATAATAACAGACAAGGGGGCAACTAAGAAATTCAGGCAAATTAAGACTATTACGAAGAAGGAAATTACTTGAAAAGTAATTGAAACTCACCTGAAAGTGAGTTGATTGTATAATTCTCCCCATGCCAGTGACACTTCTACCGAGTTTCTCTACGGCATATGATTTCATTGAATTTATATGTAAATTTCGGGTCATCAGGAGAGTACATGCACCGATTCGGGGCCTCCTTCTCACTTGCACCCTACCCAACCCCACTGATGTGAGGCCCCATTATAATGATATACTATTATAACTAGTATATTACGTATTATTACTACTCCAAGGTATAAACGAGAAGTAAAAATAAGATAAAATAAGTCAAAAGTCGATAATAGTGACAATGTTTCAAGCAAGTAATGCAGACAATTTAAGACTGTTACATATTATTAATACGACAAAGTATAGACAATAACAAACAATTAAATTTGATATTTGATTAATATTAACTTTTTGTTATTTACAGTTTTTAGGATTACATTTACCAAATTTGCTTTTCAATTTTCAAACTTATGGTCAAGGAATACGAAAAATATTTTGAAATCTGGAACTGGTGCGAATCTTGTAAAAGGTTAAGAACTAAATATTTAAATCATTAAAACAGAGAAAGGTTGGCTTCGGAATGTCAGAGAGAGGAAAACAAAATCTCACCTAAATCAGAAGATTTGATTTAGTCACATTAGTATTAATGAATGTTTGTAGCGTAATAACAAACCAAGTTCTGCTGTATATGGGTTGCTGCCCTAAAAATGTAAAAAATGAACCTAAAGTTACAATAAAAAGAAAAGAAATTCAAGCAACTTAAGACTATTACCTCTTATATAAAAAATATAGATTATCTCCATTTGGGAGATAACTCCTGCTGATAATAGGTCGGACCTATCCATCTGATATTAATGGGTATGACCCAAAATTTGGCGCGAAACAGATTTTAAGCACCAAGAGATTCCGAGGCGACCACGAACGAGAGACACGTGTTTTCAGCGTACTCCAAGAACAGGCAATGCTGGCCACAAACAAACCTGAATAATACAAGGGCAATGAAGCTATCGAGGGCATCACAGTACAGTATTTCATCTATTTCAAACAAGGACATGTTTTGAATCTCGTCCCCGATGCCTTGACTTTCAACTGCTAAAAGAATACGTTTTTAGCAATCCTCTATTCTCTTCTCATTGTGTATGTATTTCTTATATAAATTATGTTTTTACAATGTTCATTTGTCTCATTTTGTTCATCAAGACACGACTTAATTTGAGGGGTCGTTAAATTACCCACAGTTATTACTACTAAAATACCCCTCCACCCAAAAGACAAACAATATATATAGGATGAAACAATGATTAGTGAAAAATGAATAACAGATAATGATGCAACTAAAATATTCAGACAAATTGAAAGCATTACGCCTTATTACTGCAAGGTGTAAAGAAGCAATATAAATAAGATGAATGAAAGACTAGTCAAAATCAATAATAGACAATCGTTTTTAATCATAGAATACTTCTATGTGATGCGTAAACTTTGATGACAGAACGACGATTACCTATCCTAATGCTTACTTTCCACCATATCTTTCGAAATGCCACCTCGAAGATTTTAGAGCACTTGAAAAATTTCTAAACTTAAAGCAAAACTTTGTTTTGTTGGCACTTTCTTTAAAATAATCTTTTGAGACAAATTTTGTATGTTTTGCTAGACAAGCCAAATATATAATTAAAAGAAAATGTGCATGACATTTTTTATGTTAGAACATTCTAGAACTTTAAGTTTGTGGAACTTTTTTTTTTAAATATTTTTTATGCGAGAAGATCTGTATAAAAAGAAATACTCCAATGAAAACTTTAATTAATAACTAAAGAAAGAACGCGTAATTAGCTTAAATATTAGCAACAAACCCTATTAGAAAGCTCAGACCTTGAATAGTGGAAATTAGTTATGTGGGCACTGCTCACAAACGGTTGCAGCAAAAGTCCATAATACATTTGTTTTGTGTGCACTGTTCCGACTCTCTTGATCTTTTACGATGTCAATCAAACTGAATTTCTTAGATGAAGCATTATTATTATTATGAATTTTTGACTTGTCTTTCTTTCCAAAATTATTAAGCTTTAAACAATTTCGTTTTTTTATCTAGGTTTAGAAGTGAATTTTACTGGTTTGTCAAAAGAAATTACACTTAGAAAAAGCGAATTTTATCAATCATTTTACCAAATCAATAAAAGCCACTAAGTTCGAAAGAGCTTACTCATGGAAAAGTGGAGACCAATAATAGAATAATGTTCATGGAGACAGACGGTCACGATAGACAATGCATTTAAATTTTTGAAGATCGTAGTTGACAGGAAATCAAGAAGCCGGAAGAGACTTCCACAAAACGGAAGTGCAGGGGAATATATAATTAGAATAGAAATTACGATAATGTTCTCATGTGTTTAACGTCTTCGCAATTTGAAAGCTTTTCCTTCGTACTCTCGTTTTTACGACTTGCATTCATACATTTGCTTTGTTATTGCAATATTTTGTTAAAATTCTTGTTCAAATATTTAACGAGGCAGTAGGGGATTTCAAGCGGTATTTTTTTTGTAGTAGAACTCTTCAAAAATAGAGAGTATAATAAATGTGCTGCTACAGAAAGATGATGGGGAAACCATAGACCGAATATGTGAGCAACAACGGGGTTTTGAAGAGAGTAGAAACAAAAAAGAAACTTATATTTAACATCAGGGAGAAGCAGTTGAAATCTTTGGGGTACATAATGAGGAAGGATGGCTTGGAAAATCTGGTACTCACAGGACAGTTTGAGGGAAAGGGGGAGAGAGGAAAGCAGCCGTAACGTATTTGAACTTGAGTCAATGGATGGCAGAAAAGGGTTTGGGACAAATAGCGAAGAGATAAAACTTATTAAGAGACTAGCAGCATGATCCGGCTGTGCTATCACTTGACTTAAAATATTTTTGCCCTTCCTTGCCTTTAAAGGAGTGCCCTTTGCCATGCTGATGTTGCTACATGCCTTACTTCTCACACTGCGAATTTTTTCTAAGCTCTATACTAAACGTTAAATCGGTTACCAAAAAGGACTAAACAAAATGAACACAAAACGACGAGCTTTAAAAAAGGACTCGTAACTGAAAGAACCGAATGAAAAAAGAATGTTAACAACAAATACTTTTTCACTCCTAACCCAGTTCTGTGGAATCAGAATCAACGTTGAGTTTAAGCAAGCGAATGAGCCATTTGGAGTAAAGTGCCATGCAGATTTAAATTTTTCCCACTTGTGATGAATGCAGCTATCGATAATTTTGCATGCTAGCATGCTAGTTAACATTCGTGTTAGTCAGCTGTTGGCTCTCACGCTGGTCAACAGAATCTTCCTGCCTATTCGTGGCAGCCAGCTATTGGCTCTCACTCTGGCCAGTAGAAAATGGCCGCAAACTACATGAAAACTGCCGTAGAAGCATGAAAAAAAAAACGATTATTTCCACTATCGATGGGAGTTGGGAAATGCGAAGTCGGTCTTGACCTTCTCCTTAACTTGGAGCATGTGCATGTCAATTTTGGTGCAAATCCATCGAAAATTGCGGCCGTGCATTCGTTACACACACACACACACACACACACACACACACACACACACACACACACACACACACACACACACATCCTGCCTTTTATAGATAGAGATACAAGGAGCAGAAAGGTGTGGAGGGCCGCAATACATGCAATAATAAGAACTTGTAAGGAGCTAATTTAGTTATTCAAATTAACAATTAAGATTCATTGCAATAAAATAGGAAAAAGATAGGAAAACTGAGGAGAGTAACAAGAATTTGTTTTTTTTTTATCACAGTTTATTTTATTACTGTAATTTCAAATTACTGAGATACGGGTTAAAAACGGAGAAAAAAAACCTGCCTGAGATAGGGTTAAAAAAAAGAGAAAAAAAACCCCCAAAAAACTGTGAATTTATTGGTATTAATGAAGGTAAGATTCTCATCCCGGAAGTGCTTTTGCTTTGAGTCCTTGTTTCGTTTGTACTGATTGTTTCATTTTCAATAATAAGCTATCAAACGCTCATACAGTATCATATCCAATTAACAATTTCCAAACAATATTTTCAGAAAAGCGAATTATTATTTACGTTATTGTTATGTATTTTTCTTTTATATTTGAAATAGAGAAATCTTTTTGATTAAAGAATACACAATCTTAACGAAAAAGGAAAGTAGTAGTAGTAGTAGTAGTAGGAGATAGGGTGAGATTAAGATAACAACTATACGTAGCTGAAAAGAAAGTGATGATAAGAATTATGAGAAGGGAAGACAGAAAGACATAAATTAGTGAGAAGATGGTGAATGGCGGGGAATTAAGAAGAGAAGGAAGGAGAGAAGAGAGAAAAGAAGATACAAGTCAAAAGAGGAGAAAGAAACTGTTGGAGAGAAAAGGAAAAAATGAAAAGAATTAGTTACAAAGTGAAAAGAGGAGGTTAATGTAAAAAAGGTAGGATAAAGAGAGAGAGAGAGATAAAGAGAGAGAGAGATAAAGAGAGAGAGAGAGAGAGAGAGACGCACGTAAATGGTTAACGGGAGAAGACGCGCGTGCGAGTGAGAGAGACACGAAGAAATAGCGAAAGTGAGAAAGCGAGTGAGAGAGAAATGCGGAAATAGAGAAAGACAAAGACGCACCTTAATTGCAAAAGGAAGAAGAGAGAGAGAGAGAGAGAGAGAGAGAGAGAGAGAGCGCGTAAGAGAGAGCGAGGGAGAGAGAGAGAGGGGAGAGGAGACGCGCGTAACATCTGAAAGAAAGAAAACGATATTGTCTGGGAATGTAAATGAAAAAGAATAAAAAGCCAAAATTACGTGGATTATTTAAAGAAGAAAAATAAACAAGTAACGGTTATGGAAGAAAAAGAAGAAAAAGAGAATAAACAAGATTTTTTTTCTTTCTGAAGGAATCAATTCAGTTACACTTAGGATGATTCTTTCATATTCCGATGCTAATCTGTTTCCAATATACCCGAACAGTATGGGTTGAATTCGAGAGCACGTGCACTTAAAAACACTTCTTTGCTTGAAAAGAATTATTGATCCATCTCTCGGAACACGCACCTCTCTCTCTCTCTCTCTCTCTGGCCTTCACTCTTTTACCATTTTCGCACGTCACTCACTCACTTTCTCTCCCAGACTTTCTCCCTTCCGCTATTTCTTGGCGTCTCTCTCTTCTCTCTCACACACACACACACGTGTATATGTGTGTGTGTGTGTGTATCTATTATTCATAGATCTGCCAATCAAATGACTCGTACAAATATTTAATAATTTTGTTTGTGCTTTTATTTTTGTTATTGGAAACTGTTACTACACTTTACTCAATTTGAACATTATTCTAAACATTGGCTGTTTTCGTATATGACGTCTGGTCAAAAAATGTATCGGAACTGTTGCCATGTTGATGAAACTAAAGCATGCAGAAAAAATTCTGTCGGGTATACACACTTAAAGCTATTACGTTCTCGCTCACACTTTTTGTTTACAGTGGAACTCGGAAGGAAAGTGTGTAGAGTGTGGACATCTCACTACACCATAGAGGTTCCCCAGTAAGCAACTCTTGTGCAGCAGTTTTTGGCCAAGAACAACATTCCCCAGGTCTGATCTTCACCGTCTTCTTCAGATCGCTCTCCTTGACGCTTGTTCCTATTCAAAAATCAAATTCCACTTGAATGGAATAAGTGTTCACGATGTCGAGGCAATCTGCGGCAGCTACTCGCTATTCAAAAACAAGAGTTCCAAGAATTCTACCACGAATGGTTAGAGTGAGTGGCTTTAGAAAAGGGCTACTTCGAAGGCGATTAAATTCCGAATTGATATGTCTTGTAGTTTTATTATTATAGCACCAATCTCGATACTTTTTGATCTACACTCGTATAACTTCTATAGCAATTTATATTAAATTTGTATTTAGTAGGCATCCGTTTATCTAATGAGATAATGGTAGTATCCTGTTTGGTCAAAATTCAGTCCTTTTTTGAGCAGCACCTGGAGTGTCTTTACGGTCCGATATTTACATGGCAGTCTATTCTGCAGGTGGGACAGACGAATGCGTAGAATGTGGAATAAAGATCTAAGATTGACATGAAGTAAAATGATGTCTCCCGTGTTGTTCTCTCACTGGGTCGACTCATCAAGGAGGCGACTTCTTCATAATATCGGCCAAAGAAGATCCCAGTGTGTGGAACCATTGGGATATGCCAGAAAAATATACTACAGTTCGACTCATCAAGGCGGTGACTTCTTCGCAATATCGGCAAGACTAGAAAGTGAGAACTGGGCCGCTCTTGGTAATCGGTTCCACAAAGCAGCGGTTCGTGGGAAGAAGCTGCCCGAATGGAACTTACATCTGGCTAATGGAATACGAAGGGCATGAGATTGGTCTGCTACAATGTGCGCGTCTTGGCGGGTCTTAGACGTGAATATTAGAACTGGTGGAGCTAAGGAAAGTATTTTTTTCTAAACACTTATTTCCCTAGAACATGCGATTGACCAGCAGGAGGCTTGCCACATGTCGTTTGTATAAAAGACTTGATCTGAGGAGTTTATTTAAGAACAGGAGTCAGTTTTTCAGGTTGATATTTTGGTATTATGGTATAGTGGGTTATCAGATATAGTGGAGTGTATGAGTTGAAACAGATTAGTTTGATTTGGCCTTGTTAGTTAGAAAGCTCACCACAAGAGGGGTATAAAACAAGAAAATCAAATTGTAAAGTGAAACAACACATTTACATGATTATAAATCAATTAAGATCTTTACAAATAAAATTAATATATTCTGGTTGATACAAGGTCGTCAAAATATTCGTAGTAGTCCTTGCAAGAATGATTTTTGTGTACGTAGGCAGGAACGTATGTATGTATGTATGAGCGTTATCGTAGGGTAGGAATGTCTTTGAAGTAATCGCTCATTCTTAAAATGTTCCGTTCGTTTATCAAGTATAAAAGAGGTGAGGGAGAAGGGTAGAGATAATAATAACGATCGTTTGACGTTTGTCAAGGGACGTGTTAATACGCTCGTCTCCTTCTCTCTGGTGACAAGCGAACTTGCCCGTCTTTTATTTTGTTTGTTGGGCTTGAAAATTCACTCCTGGATATGATTCGGGCTTTTCCATTGGGCGAAGAACAAACTTCGCGTCGGCTCGCGAAAAGCTCCGTAAAAGAATTTGTTTCTGAGAATTGAAGATTATTTGAATTTTGTTTTTAAATGTTTCCTAGTTTTCTAATGGCCGAAAAAACATTTCGCATCAAGGTGTGAAATTTTACGAGTTTTGTTTTGGATTCGTTTTTGCGTGTGTGTTAAGCAAAGTTTGTAAATTCGAGTCTTTTTAATTTCTAACAAAATCAATGAGTCAGTGCTTAGCATTTGAATTTTAAATCTAGATCTTGTTTTGTTCACTACAATGGTATCTTACATTAACTAGACAAAAGTAAGGAATAAAGACGTCTTTTCAGACTTTAAAAAGAATTCGCCAAATTCAGATTTTCCATTCCAATGTGGTGAAATAAATTAAGCCATGTACTAAATTAAAGAAATATATATTCGATACATACTGTACGAACGTTACGGGTGCAATTCCTTACCTAGAACATATCAAAATCAGAATTTAAGGATCTTGATCAAATATAGAAATGTATCATCAACGTGATTCATTTTATCTGTCCTTTTTCCTTGAAAGTTTGAAATTCATTAATCTCAGAGGAAATTCAAATTGCTGCTTTCTCCCTTGGCCTCGCGAAGGACGAAAATGTCTCTTACTAATGTGTACCAGTAATTCTGATATTCTTTGAGGAAGTGACTTCTGGTTTCTTCAGAGCCAGTGAAATATACAAGGGAAGTAACTCGTCATGACTTGACATGTGGCCACCATTTATCATAATCTAGCTGTCCAGGGCAAATTTACATCATATACACCATATTCGGAAAGCGATATTCAGTTTAGATTAAAATTATTTCACACATGCAAAGGCCAGGATTATGTCATAGAGAATTTCCAAAATGAAACTCCCGTCCTGGGTATGACGATAAACTACATCCGCGTCCTGGGTAAGACGATAAACTACGTCCAACAGCAAGGCCTCTGATAAGGTGGTTTTGAGGAAGCATGGAACCACCTCTTAATTGCTGGTGTTCCCAGGTCCACCCTGACCCGGAGTGGTAACACCTGTTAGGGTCCCAGCTATGGGCAAATAGTTAAACCCGAAATTGGGGTGAAAACATCACGAAAGGGTAAAAATAGGTTTTAACACCAGAAATACTTTGTAAAAAATTATTATCAGCAATAAATGTTTGAAGAAAAAAACTATTACCAGCAATACATTTTTGAAAAATAAAAAAATAATACCAACAATAAGTTTTTGAAAAAAAAAACCAGCTATACATTTTTGGAAAAAAATATTACCAGCAATACTTTTTTGAAGGAAAAATTATTATCAGAAATAGATTTTTGACAAAACAAAATATTACCAGAAATAACAATTTTGTCAGCATTATAACCCATTGAGGTTGATATGCCGTAAAAAAAAAATAAACCAAACCAATCTAAACCAAAGAATACATATTATATTCATACGAATCTATCCTAAAAATGTTGTCGGTATTAAATAACCCAATGAGGTTGATATGCCGTTAAACAAAATAAACCAAGCCAATCTAAACCAAAGAATACATATTATATTCATACGAATCTATCCTAAAAATGTTGTCGGCATTAAATAAACCATTGAGGTTGATATGCCGTAAAACAAAATAAATCAAACCAATCTAAACCAAAGAATACATATTCTATTCATACGAATCTATCCTAAAAATGTTGTCGGCATAAAATAACCCATTGAGGTTGATATGCCGTAAACCAAACCACAACACACTATACATTATTGAAGGAAAACAAATATTACCAGCAATAAAAATTTTGTCGGCATTAAATAACCCATTGAGGTGTTGATATGCCATAAAACAAAACAAACCAAAACCAAGATGAAACTTGTTAGAATATGGATTTTGCATGAATATTTTGATAGTCGGCTATCTTTTCTGTTAAAAGACAGACTTCAGTTTCTTCTTATTTAGATAAAAAAACAATGAACGACCGTGAACTGTTTGGAATCTGGTGCTCCAGTTTTATCTCCTCGAGATTCCTGACAAAATTCAAAAAAGGGGGATCGATCCTAACCAAGCATCTCGACATCAGTCATTTTTTCATTGACATGATGTGGCTTCCCTCTGTCTTTTTTACAAATATTTTCATGGCAACTGTTTTACTACTGAACTAACTAGATGCAATCGCCACATCTATTCTGAAAGTTTCGTTTCTAGCACTTCCCACCTGTGGAGTTACTTCCGATTTCATGCTTCCCTGATAACTACAATCTTCAAAAATTTAAATGCAACGTCAACCGCGATCTTTTTCTTCTTTAACCTTGTTCCTTTTTTAGTTGAGAGGATTGGGAGCAATCCTCTCCATTAAAATCTTCTCATCCTCCTTCACACCCTGTAAGCCCCTGCGTCTTAGTGGCATTATCACCTTACTTGGGGCGGAACGATTTAAAAATTCCAAATACATTTATAAAACCAATAATTTATAGATCAATCTAATGTTACGGATTATTTTTGTTTATTTTCAACTCAAAAGTAATAGTTGGCAGATTATGTTTTCGATTAGGTCCTTCCTTTTGGGTGTCAGCTAATCCCGGTTGCAGGTCCCTGCTCAGGCTCATTTGTGTTTCGTCAACACCCACAGAGATAACCTGTGGTTTATACGGGAAGTAA